GCTGGTAGTTTCAAATTGCTGACCTTGAGGTTAGCAGCCCGGCTCGTAACCACTATGCTACCAGAGCTGCATAATCCACTATGGTAGTGTTTCTAAATCACTGCTACCTTAATTCCTAGACGTCTGGCTACGCCAGCATGACCTGTTTCAGGGAATGAATGACACCACTCCTCTAACAGGAATCTGGGAATTGGGAGAGATCTGACCTCCTTGTCTCCCTCAGGTCACCCAATCAATCACTAATCCTATTGGCCTGACTTCCCACATAGCTCTCACATATATCACTGTCTTAGTTTCCTAGGACTACTTTACTGTAACAGAGTACCACAAAATAGGTGAGTTTAAAGAACACAGATTTCTTTACTCACAGTTTTGTGGTTTGAAAGTCCAAATCAGGATCTCGTCTGAGTTGATTCCATCTGTGGGTCTCTCTCCTCGTTTCTGGTGCCCAGCAGTAATCTGTGGTGTTCCATTGCTTGTAGAAGAGCCTTCATTTGGCAACTGTCTCCCTCTGTGTCTATTCTGCTCATTCTGTAAGACACAAATCACAAGAGATTAGATATATAGCGCTCCTGTGGTGCTGTGGGTTAATACAATAGACTGCAAGGTCGATTTGAATGGCAAAGTCAGTGGTTCAAGCTCACTTAACAACAGTAACAATATAACAAAAGAAAACCCCCATTTCTAAACAGGGTCATAGTTATAGGTACAGGATTAGGACTTCAACGTAACAGTTGTTTTCTATACTATACACCACAAAACATATATGGATTCAACCGTTTCAATATGTGCAGTTCAGTGACATTGATTTTGTTCTTCAAGTTGCACATCCACTTTCACCCTTGTTTTCTGAATTGTTCCCATCATCTCTTTTGAGTTGCTGTTGTCACTTTGATCCCATAAAGTTCTTAAAAGAGCTTAATGTTCAAGGCAGACATTCTTTACTAGTTAAGCTAGACCATTGTTTGATTTTAAGAAGACTTCAGGGGAGGTTTTTGGTTTTAGTTTTTAAGATTATTTTAGGGCATTTGTTTAGGGGGTTCATACAGTCTCCATGGCTCTAGAAAGTTTGGGGTTCATCAGTCTAACTTTTTGAAGGGCACAATTCAATCCGTAACAATCACTTTCCTTTCAGTTTTACAGTCAGGAGCCTTAACAAATCCATCACCATCTCTTTCCAAGATGGCCGCCACAGTCTGTTGCCTGGACATGGTTCAGATCCCATAAGTATTTGTTAAGTTGAAAACCATTTTCAGATAACAGTGGGCAGGTTATCAGGATGCAATATTGCATTTCTGAGGGAAGCGTATGCAAGGGGGCTTCACAGAGTTATTGGAAACACTCCATTCATTATCTCTTATTTCCACTTAATTTTCTGAAGCCCCCTCATATGGCCAAATCTAGGAGATTTTTCTGAAGAGCCGTATTAGAGGCAAGAGAAGTGTGACTCTGCCATAGCTTTATATGCGATTGTTATGTTTGGAAAGGTGAATCTTCCTGTCTCATTATCTGTCCTAATAGTTACTTTATCTAAATATTCTTTATCTTAAAAATTCCCATTGGGGTACATTTAAGTCACTGGGATATAAAAATATTTGTGTTACTTAGGAAACGTTTTATATTCTCTAAGAGGTTAAGGAGCTCTGGTAGCATAGTGGTTACAAATCAGGCTGCGAACCAAAAGGTCAGCAGTTCGAAACTACCAGCTGTTCCGTGGGAGAAAGATGAGGCTTTCTGCTCCCGTAAAGATTTACAGCCTCGGAAACCCTGTACAGGGTCGCTATGAGTCGGAACCGATTCCACGGCACATAACAACAACAACAAGAAGGTAAGCACTGGACCCTAAGGTCGGTTTGAATCAAAACGTCAGTGATTCAAACTCAACAGCTGCACCTCAGAAAACCTGTAGGGTTGCTATGAGTCGGAACTGACTCGATGGCACTTAACAGTAACAGCAACAAGAGGTTAGGAGTCCGAACCAACTCGATAGTACGTAACACAACAGCAAGGGGTAAAAAGAGGTTGAGGGGGTGAATGTGGTCTTTAAGGAAGTGTATGCTATGCATTCTTAGTTTGAAAATCTTAATTTCCTCACAGGTAAAGTTATTGGGTTGAGTTCACATGATTCTCAAGGTCACTGTTGTTAAGTTGTTAAATGCCTTCCAGTCTGTTCTGACCCTTAGTGACCTTGTATAGGGTTTCCAAGGATCATCTGATGAGCTTGAACCGCCAGCCTTACAGTTCAAATGGCTTTGCAGTCTGACGCATTAACCCATAGCGCCACACCAGGACTCCCTCCAGGGCACTACTAGCTCTTAATTTCTAAAAATTGAGTGGCACTGTAGGATCAGCACAGGACTGTGAACCACAAGGTTGGCAGTTCAAACCCACCAACTGATCCTTAGAAACCCTGTACAGGAACACTATGGATCAGAACCAACTTGACAGCACTTAAAACAACAAATTAAACTCTGTAGTCCTGGTATACTGAGCAGATCATCTGAGAAGGGGGTTATATAAAGAAAAACATGGCATCAGGATTGGGGGAAGACTCATTAACAACCTGCAATATGCAGATGACACAACCTTGCTTGCTAAAAGTGAAGAGGACTTAAAATACTTACTGATGAATATGAAAGACTATAGCCTTCTATATGGATTGCATCTCAATATAAAGAAAACAAAAATCCTCACCACTGGATAAACAACATTCCTATCAATGGAAAAAAGATTGAAGTTGTCAAGGACTTTATTCTTCTTGGATCAAATATCAACACTCACAGAAGCAGCAGTGAAGAAATCAAACGACGTTATTACATTAGGCAAATGTGCTGCACAAGACCTTTTTAAAGTGTTGAAGAGCAAAGATATCAGCTTGAAGACTAAGGTGCACCTCACCCAAGCCATGGTATTTTCAATAACCTCATATGCATGTGAAAGCTGGACAGTGAATAAGGAAGACCATAGAAGAATTGATGCTTTTGAGTTATGCTGTTGGAGGAGAATATTGAAAGTGCCATGGGCTGCCAAAAGAACCAACAGATCTGTGTTGGAAGAAGTGCAGCCAGAGTGCTCCTTGGAGGCCAGGATGGCCAGACTTCACCTCTTATACATCGGACATATTGTCAGGAGGGACCAGTTGCTGGAGAAGGATATCATGTTGGGTAATGTGGAGGATCAAAAAAAAGGAGGAAGACCCCCAGCAAGATGGATTGACAAAGTGGCAGCATCATGGGCTCAAGTGTGGCAATAATTGTGAAGTTGGCTCAGGATTGGGCAGTGTTTCGTTCTGTTGTGCATAGGGTCACTATGAGTCGGTACCGACTCGATAGCACCTAACAACAAGTCCTGGTGAGGCACTGCAGGATAAAGCACTGGACCAAGAGGTAGGTTTGAACTTCAAGGTCGGCAGTTCAAACTCACCAGCTGCTTCTTCAAAACCTTATATAGGGTTTCTATAAGTCAGAACTGACTGGATAGCACTTAACAACAACAGTTAAACTCTCTGTAGGGTGCCATGAGTCAGAACTGACTTGAAGGCACTTAACAAAAACAGTTAAACTCTCATTTATTTTGAAATTTTTTTAAAGAAATTACACTTATCTGAAAGAAATAGAAAAGACCTCTGGGAACTCATTTTCATTAGTGAGAACTTCAGGCCCTCACTCAGAACTGGTTCACTTTGTTTATACAACAGGCAAGTAAACACAGCAGGTCAAAGAATCGTTTTATTTTGTTTTTTGTTTTTTAATGCAAAGCAACAGGGGAAGTAAAAGAAGTGGAAGAAACTAATGTGGATAGTAAAATCTCAGGGAACTGTAAGGGATTCTTAACTCAATAATAGCTCTCAGGTAGACCAAATGTTCAACAGATTTCTGTGCTTTCTGAAGGGTACTGGAAAACAGACTGTTAGGGAAATTAGCATTGCAATAGACAGTTGATCAGTGTCTTCTTTAGTTTTTCTCAGCATACTGTGTTGTAGATTGCATCTGCCAACGCTTATTTAAGAAATTGCTGGGCTAGTAGTTACAGTGAGTCTCATTTGACTTTTTCATCACCCTCTCAGCTCTGCGGGGGAGTGAGCTTTCCTACTCAAGTCTCAGTCACTTCACGGTTAGGAAACATTGGATTGGGTGTTCCCAATCTCTAGGGTTTGACTGGCTGTCCTTATTCTTCAGAACACACTGGTATGACTTCCATTCCAAAAGGCAAAAAGAGAAACAACTGGTCATGTGGTTTCTGTTATCTGTAACCATGGAAAACGTTGGCCATCTGTGAGGCTCCCATATTAACACTTTTGTCTCTGTCTCTCTCTTTCCTGTTCTCTTTCTTGGGAAAAACAAGGTGAGGAAGTGGAGAGGTTGGCGGCAATGCGCTCTGACTCCCTAGTCCCAGGTACTCACACCCCACCTATCCGGAGGAGAAGTAAGTTCGCCAACCTGGGAAGGATTTTCAAGCCTTGGAAATGGAGGAAGAAGAAAAGCGAAAAGTTCAAACACACATCTGCAGGTACCGTTTTGTTCCTTCATTCCTCATTGGTGGTTTGTTGACTTCAAGTCTGTATCCTTATTACTAGAATTTCTTTGCTATAGCCCACCCAAGGCTTAGAAATGCTCCAGTCTTTAATAACTCTTTTTAGTCTGATTTAGAATTGCATTTATATCCTAAGTGTTTTCTCACATCTCAGGGGTTTTGTTTTTGTTTCGTTTGTTTTTGTAAACTGACATGTTTGTTTGATATATAAATAGTGTGAACTTAGAATGTCATGTTTTCTATAACGGAATGGTTTCATGGCATTGAAAATCCATAGCTTATCATTCATTCTTAGGCTCACTGCTCCCATAGAGGTCAAGATACAAGCAGAAAATAAATTACCTGGTGGTTGACACAATTCTTATCAGGTTATTTCATGGCAGAAACATTTGGAATAAATGATTCTTGGACATTGCAGTGGGGGAAGCTAAGACTTCAGTGCAGTTCTATTCAGTTTGTAGCCTGGAGAACAGCAAAGGCACGAAGGGAGAATCAGTGTCGCAGACTCTGGAGTCAGACTACCTGGGTTCAAATCCCAGCTTTGTCACTTGCTCAGTGTATTGATCTCTTTACCTCAGTTTCCTCATTGATAAGATCGGGTTAAGAATAGTAAATTACATGAGTTACTATTTGTGAAGACTTTAGAACACAGGCTGCTCCACCATGTATATCATTTTTGTAATAAGTCAGGGTGGGCACAGGACAATGTGTGGGGAAACACAGAGCTGTGATTGCATTCTGTGAGATTTCACTGGTGATGGTGAAAGAACTCTGCCGAGTCTTTCTTTTGGTTTCCTTTATGTGTTCAGTCATCTTCTTCCTTAAGACCCTCAAACATTAAACCTACTTTTCCCTCAGGATTATCCCCTCCTCAGGATGTTGCTAATTTCCCATATCTCTTCATCACATCACAAACTGAAATTTGGGATGATCTTACACAAGAAAGTTATAAGGACTCTTGAAATCTTTAAAAGTTCTCCTGATAACCATAACTCCCAATTCCTATTTTCTGACTCTGTTTCCTAGCTGGAAGCCTAACTGCCCTGTCGCTATAACTTGTCATTTCCTGACTTTACAGTGACTCTCTGAATTCCATGAATCTTGAACGTGCCTGGACTCTGAGTCCCTTCATCCCAACTCTGCTTTTCACCGTCTCTGTCACTGGATACAATACCACTTGTAGGTCATTCATAAACTCCAGAACATCAGTGGGTTACTTCTTCTTATTGTTAGTTCCCGACCAGTCAGATACAGCAAAACTCCAAATGGTTAACCCCTCAGTAGCCCCTCTGAATTAGTCAGAAAAAGACAATTTGAAGATTGCCTCAGAGATTATGAAATATATTGCTTAGGCACAGTGAGATGTAAGGCACATGAAAAGAAAGAAAGAAAGAAAAAAAAAAGAAGAATGAAGATTTTACTGTGAAACAAATAGCTTCTAACATAAGGACACACTTTTAAATGATTGACATCTATCAGCCTGAGTTTGTGAAGGATGAGTGGCAGATACAAACTGAGAGAGAGCTTTGCTTACTACGTTGGGCAACGTGAGAACACAAAATCTCATTGTTTCTCACATGTCACAGGCTGATTATGCTGACAATTTTTTTGAAAAAAGACTTTAGAAAATTTGTCTTTTGAATGATTTAAATATAATGGCATCAAATTGCTCATGAATCATTAAAATCAGATTCGCAAAAAAACTTCATTTGCAGCTTTGGGGAGGCAATATTAAAACATGCAATAGGCAAAGTTGTTATTTTAATCATTCCTGTCATTAACTATTCTTAAATGTTCTTGGAAATAAGAATGTGCTTAGATGTTTTGAAATGCTTGTGACCAAACTGAAACTGATGAATTTGGCAGCAAAATGCGCTATTTGTACTTTGTAGTTTTGTTGTTGTTTTCTTTTAAACAACAACAGCAACAAAATCATTTAGTCCCTGAATTAGAGGAGGTAGAAGAAAATCTTATAGAATACTGTTTTATCCCAGTAGGTGAATGGGTGCATGTTAGAAATGAAGCTGTTCTAGTTAAAAAATAAATACATAAGAAATACGTGTTTTACACTGTAGTATTGGTTGTCCTGAACTGAATTTGGAGATATTATTTGTATGTTTGAGATGGAGAGACTCTTTACTAGTTCTTTACCCAAAGAAAAATGCTGACAACGTAAGGATGTTCAATGTAATAAATCGTTCATATGCCCAGATACTACTTTGATGTACAAACTACCTAAAATGCGGATAACAATCAAATATTCAATTAATATATAAGTTGATTGTGCAAATGTTAATTTGTTGGCCAGTTTTAACTTATATGCATTGTTGTTGTTGTTGTTAAGTGCCGTTGAGTCGGTTCCGACCCATAGCGACCCTGTACAGGGTTTCCGAGGGTGTAAATCTTTACGGGAGTAGAAAGCCTGATCTTTCTCCCATGGAGCAGCTGGTAGTTTCGAGCCACTGACCTTAAGGTTAGCAGCCCGATTCGTAACCACTACGCTACCAGAGCTCCTTTATATAGGCATTGGTGTGACTTATATGTTGTTGTTGTTAAGTGCCGTCAAGTCGATCTCGACCCATAGCGACCCTGTATAGAGTTTCCGAGGAGCAGCTAGTGAGCTTGAACCACGAACCTTGCAGTTCAAACGGCTTTGTAGTCTGGTACATTAACCCACAGTGCCACACCAGGACTCCATGTGACTTATATATGTATATATAATGTCCTTTCCTATGTAAAATAACATATTATTTTAAATATAAGGAATAAGCCCATAAATTAAATTTATATTGTATGTTTGTATGGCATTGTAGGATAAGCAGTGGTCTGCTAGCCTCAAGTTTGGAGGTTCAAATCCCCCAGCCTCTTCAGAAACCCTATACAGGGTCACTGTGAGTTGGAACCGGCAGCAGTTAACAGCAACAACAACATTGGTATTAAAATTGTGTATATTTTGCACAATCAAATGAACATTAGCATAATGCATATTTGCTCTATTATTATTTCCACACTGAGTTGCAGTCATAGTTTCCCAAGTTGTTGTTAAGTGTCGTCGAGTCGATTCCCACTCATAGCAAACCTGAAAAGGGTTTCTGAGGAGTGACTGGTGAGTTTGAACCACTGATCCTGCTGTTCAAATTGACCTTGTGGTCCAGTGCATTATCCTGCAGCGCCACACCAGGACTCCTATGTTGTTGCTGGTAAGTGCTGCTGAGTTGGTTCTGGCTCACAGTGACCCTTATAAGGTTTCCAAGGTGTGAACCCTGAAAAGGGTTTCTGAGGAGTGATTGGTGAGATCAAATTGCTGAACTTGCTGTTCAAACCGACCTTGTGGACTAGTGCTTATCCTACAGCACCACACCGGGACCATAATAATTATACTGAAAACTGTACCATAGTTCACTGTAAGTCAAATTGCAGGGGTATGTGTACCTGTGTTTACAATTCTTTCAAAGATACAACCGGTGTCTTAGTTACCAAGTGAGTGTGGCAGCAAACTATACCACAAGTGAATGGCTTTAAAGAATAGGAATTTATTGTCTCTGTTTTTGAAGCTGGAATTCCAAATCAGGACCTCAGCACTAGGGCAGGACCCTTTCTGGTCAGAGACCCTGGGAGTTCCTTGGTATTCCTTCTCCTTCGTCTTCCCTCTATATGTGTCTTTTTCTCTGTTTTGCTCTTCTTTTAAGAAACCTCTCAAAAGTGATTAGATTTAGGATTCACCCTACTCTGGTAGGAGTCCTGGTGTGGCGCTGTAAGATAAGCACTGGACTGCAAGGTCAGTGGTTCAAACTCAGCAGCTGTTCCTTGGAACCACTATGACCCGGAACCACTATGCACTTAACAACAGCAACTTCTTCTGTATGGTTTCCTTAACATAAAAAAGAAACTCCTATTTCTAAAACAAGGTCATATTTGTAGGTCCAGGGGTTGAGATTTTAATTCATATTTTTTAGCAAGGGTGAAGAACAGTTTAATCCAAAACACCCAGAAATGTCGCTTTGTAAAATCAATACCAAAAAATGGCTTTAAGAATTATGATCTAAGCAATTTTTTAATTGTTCATTTTATTAAATAACCAATGTATACTCAGAGTAGTGCATTGACTTGTTAGAGTAAGTCATTTTTTACATTGTCCTATAGTATCCCCAATAAAGACAGGTAGGTAGGATTATGCAAGATATCAAAATAGCCCCTTTTGTTTAATTTATTCACAACAGTATGGAATGAAAGTGAAATGACAGATCGTTGTACTTCAGGGAAAGTTGTATGAATATTACAACGTATCTTGGTCTAAGTAGAATACCAGGGTAAGTTGCTTCACACACCACCACTCCCATACTCAGCCTGCCCCTCTAGTTCCTGTCTGCCTTTCCCACCAATCAACTTGGGATGCCCCAAACTTAAACAGTTCTCATTTAACTATGTATAAGAGTGAGGTCAATAATGGAAGCCACCAAGCACCCTCACATCAAATCTAACCTTTGGGATTAAATATTCTGGAACAGGACAGTTGAACTAAGATCGAAACCAGGTGAGGATTTTAAAAGACAGATCGGCACATCTGCCACTGCCCACACATCCTTCATGCACATAGCTGAAGGCTTGTCCCTGAGAGACCTTTAGAGCTAAGACCTGGAGGCTGAGTTCTGGCTGGCAGTGAGAGCTCCTGGAGACAAAGAGTTCCTCTCCAAAGCATCCGTACATCACATGGCAGTCATGGCTAGAAAATGAACTAATGGGTCCTCAGGAGATGGTCCCTACATGCACTTCAGCCTCTTCTATGAGGGCCTGAACTGCCCAGGACCTGCCAGGCAATCAGTCTGACATGCCCAGCTTCCTCTGTGGAATCAGTAGTTGCTGTCAGCACTACTTCTCAACACCTGCTCTGGGCATTAAGAGAACATTCCCTCGGAAACAGAACAGACACTGCCTTTTCAGAATAGCCCAATGCAGTGATCTTACCCAAATTCCTA